TAGCAGTAGTCGTAATAGTAGCAGTAATAGTAGTATCAGTATTAGTATACTTCATCATTATTAAGAAGAGATAGCAAAGCTCTTCTGTCAGGTAAACTTTACTAGTTCTAAAAACACTTCTGCATAGTGATAAAAATTGAGTGCTGATAAAAGACAGAAAATTGACTGCTGTGGTTTTGTATAGCAGTGACCTACGGTGCTTGAATAGTAATTAAAAATCTGTGACTTTTATCATGCCTATAAGGAAACTTTTTGTTATTATTATTTTGACTGTTATTATTATTAATATTATTATTGTTACTATAACTAATAACATTATTACTATTACTATTACCATTATTATTATTATTGTTATTGCCATTATTGTCACAATAACTGGTATCACTACTGGTATTTCGAGTATTGTTATTACCATCACATTAACATGTCCTAACTCTTAGTTAACCATAAAAGCTTATGTGTCGTGAAATTCTAAGAGTGTTATCATTGTCTGGTGTAACGTCAGTTAATCGACTGTTACAGTTTTTTCTTTCAATAAATGAAGTTATTATCTACTTTTTTACCAATAGTAAACTGTAAAATTTTTGAAACAGTTTATCAGTGAATTAAAGAGGCGTAAATAAAATAAAGATTAAGAGGTTTAAAGTTTGAAGTTATGGTACTCAGCTATTCAAATGTGACACCTAAAAAACGTAACAACGATAAAGAGAAGTTAATGATTTTATTGCTATATACCTAATAAACACTAAAAAACAGAACTTATATTATTTGCAACACAAAAGTTTAAATTCATTCTCTAAAACTTTCATAGCTGACGTTGCATTGGTTGATTCTGTGAACAAACCACCAGATAAGTCAGTCCTTTTTTGTACTGACTGAAACACATAGTTTTTAGCAGCATTTTTTTGAAAACTGAAAATAATATATTCTGATATAAAAAGAAACTACGGAATTTTTCAAAGGAAGATAGTAATATTGTACATTGTTTAACGTTGCTCTGTATGCATCAGGAATAGTTACACTGCACACAAGCGACCAAATTCTGCCTTTCAATTTTTTGATAATTTACAAATCGTTTCCAACTTTGCGCTTCCTACGAAACCACTCTTAATAAGAATTTGAAAAGATTAAGAGTAGTCTAAATTGTTGTAAAACATTTAAATAAAACCACATATAAACCTTTCCTGAAGGTTATAGTCAGTTAAGAGGTCGTACTTTTCAACCAAACTTCTCTTCACTTTTTTTTCTTTTAATTTATGCTTTATTTGGAATAAAATTCACAAGTGTTTTACAGAAGAAATTAAAGCATATATATAAGTAGTTGCTGTTCCTGTACCTGCCGTAATCTAAAATTTTTACACCATTGAAGCAAAACTGCCGTTGTACTCAGCTCATTACAGAAACATTGGTTTTATGCAAGTGAATTTGTAGTGTATAATCAAAAACAATTTTTTCTATAAAAGTTATCAAAACTTGGTGACTACAAATGCTTCTACTAGATAATTTTAAGCATTTATTTGAACATTACGTTCTGAAATTTGTTCAGCAATTAGACCTAGAAAACATAATCAAAATTGTGTTTGTATAGCCACAAACTACGGCGTTTTAGCAACAGTTATTTTCAACTGCTTTGCAGTGTCTTAAATAGCTGTTCTAAGCTTTTAATTTTTCTTGTAATCAGTGACAAACGCTGAAGATTCTTTTGTTAACCAGTTTTTTAATAAACATTCAACAATTACCTCAATGAAAGCTTTATGAAGAACCTTAGATATAAAGAGGAGTTTTGAGCTCATTCTTGTGAAATTGGCACTTGTGGAAAAAGCATCTGACAAACCCATCCTAATTAAAGTTTCAGAAAGTTCAAACTGTTCTTCTAAACGAAATTTAGGCAATCCGACCTGAAAGCAAACGAATAACTGATTGATCATCGAACAATGCCAGAATGACAGTAACACAGTAAAATATTTTAAAATTCACTATCATTCTATTTCGGCTATTTAAAAACTTCAACTATATTTTGGAAATGACATTCAAGAAGTCTACCCCAATCATTCCATTATAAACAAAGGTAGCACAAGTCAACTGTCAGACAAACTTACACCGTTTTTTAGATTACCAAAAAACATCTACGTCAATTTTTTCTCATCATTCCAAAAAAATGATTCTATTCTTACGTACCTCGACTTCCCTCCATGCAGCTCTCGTTATGTAGCTAAGCAGCTTCTTGCCATCAGTGTCTTCCAAAAACGTTGAAAGACCGTACCTTTCAACAGGCAATAAAACAAACATTTTTACTTTATTGCCTTTGTACAGAATCCCAAGAACTTGTACATTACCATCAGAATAATAATTGAACTTACCAACTTTATACATCATTTCTACCTAAAAAGTGAAAAAACGTTCAATACTCTAACAACCAAAATATTTTCACGACTAGAATATACAAACTTCAGCAACCTTTCTTTCCTTTCCGACATCGCTATGAAAAGTCTAATTTCTAGTAAGTTCTTTTTGAAAATCGTCAGCCCATTCTCCTTTAAAGTAAATGGCATTTATAATCATGAGACGTGTTTCTGGATTAATCATTTCAGGCAATACAAAATTCTTAATTTTTGAACGCGTTTGTACCTCTATCCATTTGTTATTATTCTGTAAAATAAGGTTTTTATGGTTTAAGCATAGCTATAAAGGTTGCCTAACGAAACGAAGACAGAAACAGGCCGTGGTTAAATAAGCGACAGACAGCTCATAAGTTTTTCACAACATCAAACGTTATGTGACATAAAGAATTGCCTGCGATTTTCACGGTGTATTTCCAGATGAAAAAGTGTATTAGAACACTAATACAGTCCCTCAAAAGAAAAAAAAAACCGAACAATATTTTAAATAACTTTTAAAAAGTTTTTTTGTCATACATACTGCAATTACAAAGTTGGATTTTCTAGTACACCTAACTATTTTAGGAAAAATAGAACGTGAAAGTTCCAAACCCGCTAAACAGTTTAAATTCCTTAAAATTACTGAAAGTTTTACGCTACCATCTTAAATTGCATAATTTACTAAAGCAGCAAATTGTAGACAAATTTCCGCTCTTGCAACATTTGAGCAAAGACGATCATCTTGTAATATTCTCAAGGTCACGATAATGTGCACAGGTTAAGTTGCTCAATTGATAAAAAATTTTAATAATTTGCTGTTATAAGTTTCCTTTCTGCTGCTTAAGCATTAATTCTGATAAATTAAAAAAAATGAGAGAAAGACTGAAAAAGGCATTAAATTGAGAGAACAAATTCTTCTATAAACCAAATCGTTGTGCTGGTGTTCTAATAAAAATAGAAATCTCAAAAGTTTAATTTTCCTAATCAGATTTACATCTTCAAAATACACCATTGGCAGTGATAAAAAAATTCAGTTAAAGCTCGCATACTTGGTTAAAATAAGTTTCTTTTGTTTTTTTTTTTTTTTTTTAGTGTACCA